TTTCAATACACTGGCACTAACCAGAGCGCCTAAAAAAATTCATAAAAACATGCCTTCTTTTGACCGCGAATTAACTATACCCCTCCTTTAAGGAATATATCATGACTGATAGTAAATTTTTTTCTTGTCAATGTAAGCCAAAGTAAATAAGTTCTATTTTGTATAATTGATAGTATAACATGAAAAAATGGTATAAAGTTATACACATGTATCATTAAAACGTTGTTACAGACTTTTAAAAATGAAAGATTGCTAATTTTAAGATGTCGTTTTTCTATCAACACTACAATATAAATGCTTTTACATTACTGTATGATACCGTTAATGTAATTACAGACTTTTAAAAATAAAAGGTTGCTAATTTTGAGATGTCATTTTTCTATCAACACTACAATATAAATGCTTTTACATTACTGTATGATACCGTTAATGTAATTAAACCGAATTTAGAACGGAGCACTATGGAAATACATTGATTGATCCAGGTTGTCACACCGCAGTGAAAACCGCGAAATCCCCTTCTTCCATTCTCCAATCATTTCCTACAGACCAAATCGTGAATGGCCCGTGCCGCTATTCTCTCGTAATTTGGGATTCCGAGATTCCGCAGGAATTTGGGATTTCATTATACCATAATAATTCACAGGATTCGGCACACCGGAAGAATGGAATAACGAGCGCGGTGTCTCTGTATAATAGGATGCAATTTAGACACGGTCGAGACAGACAACGCGTCCTGCGAAACATAAATCATGGCACGGCACTGGCCCCGCGGGGGGTTACACGTGGGCGGTCTGGCATGAGGAAAGTGGAGGGTAGAAGTGCATATCTTAATTACAATATTCCCACGGGCGGAACACAGGGATCTTTGCCCGCGCTTCGCCGACCACCATCTACCTTGCACGGCCTCGGGTACATCCCTCCTTACGCCCCTTAGACTTACCCAGGCAGCTTGTAGGAATTTAATTAATTTGCCAGTGGCGAGCAGGCTTGCTCCTTGTCGCCACTCTGAAATATCGTATCCTTCCCACCCTTTAAAATCCGAGCCAGCCATCGTGCGCACCGCCCGTCGCCTTTGCCATAGCACTTGCAATCCGCGTGCGATTACCGCTCTTTATTGCCCCTTATCTCTCGTTCACCCTTTCTTTATTCTCTAATAGATACGCCTCGTGCTGAGTTACAGATCAGGTATACGTTTGCGGCATTATTAGTTATGATCGGAAATGCCGAAATGCGAAGAAACGGTTGAGCAAGCCGAAACTTTCGCTGTCTGTGTACAGCCTCTCGGCACGAATAATAAAGGTAAGTTCGCACGCGAGAGAAAGAGAAGTTTTCGAGATTTCGCAGAAACCGAAATACTTGAGAAACTCGGAACTTTCTTTCCCGGAAGACTCCACAGGAATATGCCACACGATCGACAAAGCGGAAACACTCCCGGCGGCACACGGATAGTGCTGACGGATACCAAAAATCTTTTGAACCAAAGAAACGTTAAATATCTATTTTATATGTATACGGAAAGAACAATTTTACTGAAATATCTAAAAATTTACTAGATACAGATCTGAAGATAATTTTGTTGGATCATTAAAATAATTATGTAGGAAACTTAAGCATGATACTGCAAAAAGGTTTAATATTCTAGCAATTAGCTCTCTCTAATGTCTAATTATGTATTTATTTCATTTTTAAAAAGTACGATACGAGGACTAATCGTATTTTATTACGTAAATTAACAGTGTCTTATAAGATCGTATGAATACACGACTTGAATAATGAAAGCCTTATCAGTCTGAACTGGATCTTAGTGTTCAAATAATATTTCGATGTGAATAATATATGTTACATACATCCAGTTCTGCGATCTGCGCACCAAAATCATTTTCAGTCTTGAAACACAATCGCACTCCGAACTGGAATAGTAATGTCGTAAATTAAACTGATAAGCAATTTGATAATGCAGTAAGCATCTTAAAAAGCTATAAATAATTTATTGCAAAAAATATTACTCCAACTAGGATTCGAACTTGGACCTTTCTTTGAACATTCCATAACGGGTGTCGCAAATTCTTCGATTTTAGTCTTTTCTTAGCAAAAATTTTTTCAAGTTCTGCATAAATGCATAATTTTTCAAGAGCTTAAACAACTTGCTTGAATGTCGTACATAATTATTTTGATTCTATGAGTTCAATACAATTTTTACAGATTTAGCTGTATTTATTCGGAATTATTACTTCAGCAAAACTATTCCTCCCGTACACAATTATAAATTACAATATTATTCAAGAATATTAAGAGATTTCCCAATGTACAATTAAATTGTCACATAGAAAAAATTAGTCTTGACTTAATTAGGCAATAACATAAATATCCTACAGCACGTTACAACAACGTCGTTTGAATGTTTTCCATTAGAATTTCCCGGAGTCTCTACATCAGTTAACGCACATATGTTTCCAGATGTTTGGGGTGCCTCTGAAGTTCAAAGTTTCATCGAGTACCGGATTTACCACAACTTCCTGATTCCCGGCAAGTTTTGGGTCTTGCCGTTCGATGGTGATAATCAGATGACGTTAAGAACTGTTGCATCGTGAGATGAAATTTCAAACCGCGTTTATACCGAATCTTGCGATATTCCTGAGCACGCATTGTCGGTCTTTCTGATAAACTAGGATAACAAAATCAATATTTATATTTTAATTGCGATACATTAATTAACTAGAGATGATTAAAAGATCTTGGAAAGATTGAACTAAAGTTTTGCAGTTAGAACGTTCCTCAATAGCATTTAAGGGAATTAATTTCCAACCGAAGACGACGCGACGTCGCGATATATATAAAGACCAGCAGACTAATCGATACTGCTTGTTAGTTCTGCCTCTACATCAGTAGGTACATATTTACTTGTGTATGACTTCGTGCTTGATGCACCCTTCGTATAACGATATGGTATTGCGCTACTATACGCCTAAATTACCATGTACATGTTTAAGCTTCGTCGGATAGCATTGCGCGATATTGGAAATTACATTGATGCGATTCATGTTGATAGAATATAAACCCAAGTTCTATCACCTTCAATAGAATATATTACATGACGTTACATTTTCGCGGAATATGACTGCGGGAGCAGCTTGGTTGCACGATGCTGAAAGTATGAGAGACTGCAAGATGTATAATATCTTCAATCTTTTAAACTAGCTAAACTTTGCTTCCTAAACATTGTATAATTTATAATGTATGTTTAATTCTCCGTCTGCAATTTGTTTTTTTTACTGTTCTAGGCTTTTCAAAAATGTGAAAAAATTCAGGGTTGCATTTTAACATCTCCATATTACATTACCAATTAACTTTTGATAAGACATTTTAAGAACCGGACTCCGCTTTTTTTTATTTCGGAAAAGTTTGATAAAATTGAGAGTGATATTTTATTTATCAAAAAAGACTCAAATTATAAATGGAGAATTAAAAAGCATTGTGCGTTACATAATCTCAAGCAGAACAAACAGTTATAATGACATTAAAATGACTTAAAAATTTCTACGTTTAATTTTGTAAGATAATTGACATTCATAAAGAGACAATAACGAGGGTTTAATTACGAATATCTTGGCAACGCAAGAAATTATTCATCAGATCTTGGTCAAAACTATTGGCGCGAGAAATTTTGCTGAATAATTCATCATCGTTGCGCCGATCCGAGATTGCGGGGAGATTAGGTCAACATTTATAGTCGTTAGAACTATAGCTCGGCGATGTTACGACGACCGATCGAAAAAAAAAAATCGTTTAACTAAGAAATGTGTGGCGGACGCGCTGACGGAACTGGGCTTAAGAAGATAGCAGACACGGAGGACGCACGGACCGACGACGAAAGATGGATGGTGGCAGAAAAAAGCAACTAAGCAGCGGCGTCTGCTGTTGAAAAGCTAAGAATCTCGACTCGACTGAGCGCGAATGCTCGTAAAAAAGCCCCGCGGAAATCCTTTGGTCGCGCCATTAACGGTGATTTTTCCTAAACCCCACTGATCTTCTTCCCTCGTATTCTCTCGTCGATGTCAACTTCATTTCGACTTATCAAGCCGTCATTCATCGATTACTTGAGACTGTCGAGACGCGGCTTCCCTTGCGCGTCACAGTTCCACATTTACCCCGCGTTTATTCGAATTCAGCAGTAAATTCCGGATGTTTTATTCTGTATTTCAATTCTGACCAGATCTACAGTGTCATTACATTTTTATAAACAATGTCCAAATTAATACACTTTGTAACTTTAAGTCTAGAAATCAATAGAACAACACTTTGACAAATTGCGTTAAATTTTAAATTTAAATATCGATTATTAACCAAATTATTGTATAAAATATCAAATATAATGGTTTCAATACTACCTTCTCCTCTATAGGAGATCACCATAAAAATAATTCTGTTTGGACCATTAGAATAATTTATATAGGGTTCTCACCGGTAAGATGTTAAAACTTTTTTGCAGCATTGCCATTGTTTAAGCATTTTACATAACTATTTTCATGATACAACAAAATTATTTTCAAAGATCTACAATTAACTAAATTTGTTAATATTTCAGCAAAAAACCGTTCTTTCCATATAACGATATTCTCTCTGTATATACATAATCTACATTTCTCAAATATACCTTCTCCTACATTTGAAATATTTTTTGTATATTTTATATTTTAAACGGTTATGCGATGCATAAAAAGATTGTAATGCGCAGGCAAACGGATGGAGATTATTTCCGATTGCGTCGCAAGAGGAAGCCGAGTAGCGTCAATCGAGGCGGAACTACGCTGCTTGGTGAATTTTCACAACATTGCCGCTGCCATAACGCGACGACGCGACGGTCTGTGCACCGTAGAGAGATCTCGATCTGACTCCCAAGCTTTCACCAAGACCTACCAGTCCTGAATTCGCGACGGCAACATTTGTCGCGGCCAGCGTAGATCCGTAGATGAACGACTGCCTCAGCAGGGGTGCATCCACGACAATCGCCTGCATAATAAATGTGCGCGCGTGCATTTTCACATTTTCAGCAACGTGGAGAATTTTGCAGCAACTCTCTTCTCTCTCTTTCTCTCTTTCTCTCTCTCATGCTCGATTTAGCGTACAGAATCTCTCGTCGGTATCGCATTTTCTTTGACAATTCTCGGTGAGAAAGAGAGCCAGCGAATCCTCAAATCCACCAAAGAATCCCGCGATAGATCTCTCTTTCTGTCCTTCTATCTCGCGAAGAGACTAATGGACCGAGAGAAAAAGTAACTGGATTACCAACCTGGACGGATTGTAACTGCTGCTGGTGCAGTTGCAGCGATCACGGGACATAACGTCGCTGCAGGAAGGGGTGCAGCGACAGCGATGGTTTTAACCGTGATGTCTTGGTCCCGTTGCACGACCGCGTTAAAACCGTTGATAGGATCGGCCGCGTAGGAGACGGTGCGCCTGGAACCGTCGAGCTCGATTAAGCTGTAACTTCCGTGAACTACATTGCCGTTGCAAGTCTCTTCCTGCGCCTTGTTGTCGTCTTGAAAAGTATAAGAGTATGCGTTCATAATACTTCGACCAAAGTTCCGTGCGACGTTCTCACGGAAAAGCGCGCAATTGTCTCGACCGGTGTTTTAATTTAAGTTGCCGACAAAGTTCTTGAATTCTAATTCGATGGAACGAATCCGATGAACAGATACAACAAATAGCTGAATTAAGAGATATCGACAGGAATCCACTCTGTGAATTTGGAACGTTCGGAAATGTCGTTTCGGCTTAACTTTCTCTTAATTACGAAGTCCTGCTTAAATCCAGACATTTTCTTGTTGAATTAAGATTTGATTTTACTACTATATATTGTTTATTTTTAATCTTCGTTAAATCGTTAATTATATATATATATATATAATTTATTTGCAAATTACATTTTTTAAATTAATTGATGTAAATAAAAAATAACCTTCAGCTTTCGCTATTTGCTGTTCTATCTATATCAAACACCTACTATATATATATATATAGTATATAAATTTTATTCCTATTCTTTACGTTATATAGATTGAATTGTATTTTGTTCCCTCAAATGTTTATTGCATTATTATAGAAATGTATAAGTATGAATATATTTGATGTATAAATGTACCGTGTATTGAGTGTCCGCAGTGTATTGAATTGGTCCATGGATTCGCCAAGCCCAAATGACTGTGCGGATCAGTCATTCCCTGTGGGATTACAAATTATATCGCAGAAACGCACCATGAAACCATCTGCCACGTTATATCCGAGGCTATACCGAGGAGAATCGTAGTTTTCGGCTTTGATAACCGTCGTAGCTGGTTGTTGCGACGACTATTGCAGTTGCATCCGGTTCAACGATCCCGGCGCGGACAACAGCCAATAAAACGCTAATAAAATAGCTGATAATCTGCGCATTAAGAAGATATCAAATATTATTGTCAATATTAAACAAAATATAATGTGAATACACAACACGGCTAAGAAAGGAAAACTTTTCAAGAAAGAGATCTGGGTTTGTGAATTCCGGCTGAGATAATAGTATTATCTCATTATTTAATACCTTTCCAGGAATTCAAAAAACAAAATTAAATTAAATAAATTAAATAAAAAATTAATAATTTTTCTCGCTTTTTGTTAGCTTCTTAGTTTATCAAAATTTTAAATATTATAGTTTATTAAAAATTACTATAATTTATTAAAAAATCGGGATATATATATATATTAGGTTTTAAACTTAATTCCTGCCGTTTTTTCGTCTCCAAAATTGATTTGTTTCTAAGGGAAGATGAATGAATACCTTAATCAAAGTAATTTCCTCCATTTTCTACTACTTTTTCTCCATCTCTCTGGTAACAGGACAATCCCATGACGGTAGAACGCGGTGTCTTTCGAGGCGATCCGTTCATCCACCCATTTTTGGACTTCGTTGTGACTGTAGAAGTGTGTG